CGCCGCCGATCTGCTTCCGCCGGCTAGATGCTGTTGACAACTAAGTAGGTCCTGTTATTCTTCTGTTGTAATGACTGTGCAGTACAATCTTAGTTTGTTATTTTCCTTCTATTTGTTCATTTGTTTTCCAATCGACCACTAACTTTTTTGGTGCTTTTGTAGGCTGAACTGATTTGAGTGGACAGCTATGAAGGTTTGTTCATGTACTAATTTCCTGCTATGGTTTTTGTCTTTAAATTCCAGTAAAACATGTAGCGTGGTTGCAGAAGATTATATTCCATTGGACTTTCTGATAGATAAGGTGGTGGGTCGAATTAAATGATGGAAAATTATTCACTAAGCTGACCTAATTTTATGGGAACGAGACATAGTTGTTGTTCTTTACATAGTTAGGCTCTGATGTGTTTCCCCCCATCTCTTCTCTCTCCGCTTATTTGTCCTTTTGTAGACGCATGTCGAATAGCCTTTCATTGTGATATTTTCTTATTTTTTTCCCCTTTATCTATGACTAGAATGCTGAGTGCAGTGGCATTGGGCAAGTATTCAGTAAATTGGTGGAAGAGATTGGAAGTCCAGTTGACTTTGAACTTCCTGAATGGTTGAATAAATGGAAATCTACACCCTACTCCTTTATAAAGCGCAGTATCCATGGAAACTACTCATGCTTTATTGTTGTGTGCATAATGTCTATAACTGGTTTTTTAATATAATTATTCTGATGTTTGTAACTATTTCCTAACAAGAGTTCCCGTTCCCCATTTTTATCTATTTGTCACAACAATTTGTTTGGTGGCATGGTTAATATTTTTGGGTGGTTTTGCCTCCCTACATTCCCTCCCTTTCCCCTTGTAGTTCTTAACTACTTCAAGATATCTATCTTTCTAAGAGGAATAAAAGGCGTCTGGAGGATGATGGCATCTTTTGTTCCTGCAACTCTTCAGATGGATCATCTCTTGTTTGTGGTAGAGATTGCCTCTGTGGGTAAAGACTGCTAGAATTAAATGCTTTATACTTTTGCAAGTTAGGACTATGGAATATGTTAAATTTTGTAATGAAAATTAGGACTAGTGAGTTGTTGCAAGAATGTGGTGCTTATTCAATTGAGCAGAGCAGACTATTTCTTTCCATTTAGATGCAGCTGTTTTATTTGTCTGACAGTTTCCAGTAAGTTTTGAAATTTGGAGGCACCTCCACCTATCAAATGACAAAAATGAAACAATCTCTCTACTGTGTATGCTGTACTTTCTTTTTTCTTGCTTCATTTCTGGGGAATCCATATTTCTAACATGCTGTATGGATTACTTTGAAGTGATTGATACTTTTGGTTATTTTTATGTGTTTTCAATGATGTCTTGGAGATCATGAGATGATGGATTATCTTTGCTCGATCGTTTTCCGCTTCTCCTACAGCATGCTGATGTCGAGCTGCTCTTCCGGCTGTAAATGTGGAAGCTTTTGTCTGAATAAACCGTTCCACCAACGACCCGTGAAGAAAATGAAACTAGTGAAGGTAAAACCTCTGGTTTGATATGCCACACTATAAGGAAACATTTGAAAGCATTACTTCCTCTTATACAAATTCTGAGCCCCCAAATCTAGACTAGGGGTGTAAGCGGTCCG